CCTTACTGGAACTAGTAGTAGGATAATTCTTGTATGATATTGATAAACCATGGCATAGGACATGTATTGATCATACAGTTTCAGCATTAATTAGGATTACCCAAATCTACCCTCAAACGTCTGTGCCATGGTTTACAAAATCATACAACAATATTACAGCAAGAGTAATAAATGGTCTTTGAATGCAATCAGTTGGAGACAATTTATAATTAATTTAGGCCAAGAAATAGAAATGACCCATGAACTAATATTGAAGCATTTAGCAAAGAAGATTTGAAAGCAAATATATGAGCTAATTTTCAGACCAATTTGAGAATTACAATGAAAGCAAAATATTGACATCCATTTTAGAAATTGATATACATGTACATAAAAGCCAAACAGCCTTATGTATTCAGGTCAATATATATGTAGAAACCAATTAGCCTTATGTATTCAGGCCAATTTGAGAATTCAATAAAAGCAAAATATTGAAAAGCTATTTTAGGAAATGATATACGTAGAAGCCAATTAGTCTTATGTATTCAGGCTGACTTGAGAATTCAACAGAAGCAAAATATTGAAAGCCATTTTAGAAAATGATATACGTAGAAGCCAATCAGCCTTACTGTATTATCCAGGTTACGACCATTAATTTTTAGAAGACCATTTATCATCTCTTGTGTACTTTTAATCAAGCAACACCTTTGTCAKACTATGACATGAACACACCAAGCCCTATGGAATACTAAATGCCATTTGATTATGACATGACAGGAATTTATGCCATGTTATTTTTGATGTGGTTTGGATTATTTTCAGATTTTCTTGTATGCAGTGAATTAAAATGCCAAATGAATCATGATTTTAAGGGAATATCAGAAGAAAGACACTGTGCAAGTACTTGAAGAGATCAAATTCATCTATGTCAATGAACCAAAAGAAGATAATTTGCTAGTCAATTTGAAGCTTGATGCCAAAACTTCAAAGGTATTCACTTCAGGATTGTGATTGATATGGTATTGCCACAAAACATATATGATGTAAATATCAAAAAAGAATTTTGTACACAGTACTTCTATCTGACCTTTGGTGTGTTCAATTATAGTCATTATATTAAAATATTCACCACTTTAAGAAGCCATGAAATGGTTTTCAGAGAAACACTTTCATGATGAAACAGCCTAAACAAGTCCAATAGAAAGAGCTAACATTCACAAACTATATCTGATACTATTTTTCAACCAACATCCTTCATAAAATCTAAATGTCAAAATATACAGACGAAATATCTGAAGTTAGTTTTTTTGTGTGATGGGGAGCCATGTGTTTATTGAGAGGATGTTTAGTGGAAAAAATAACCAGTGAACTGAATATTGATAAACCTTGCACTTTAACTTACTGTGAATATGGATGGAGACCAGGAAAGCAGCAGTCAGAACATCATCATCACAAAAGTATTATCAAATATCAACAAAAATATCAATAAAATAATCAATGTCAAGATGTACAGTAGACTCTCGCCTACTACAGTATGCTATGACATTAGAAATTGGGATACCTTATTTGTACAATTTCTTGGAAGTTTTAGTTTGTTTTTCATTTGGACAAAAAGAACTGATATCATAACCATAGGAAGCGAGAATTTACTGAAACAAATTGAATCAATGCAATGAAAAATGCATGAAAAAGTTTTTTCTTTCTCATTCAGTGAATTGGTAAAATTTGACTTGACCAAGTCTTCAAACAATTTTAAATTGAAAAACAACTGGAGTAAAAAGATAAGGAAAATTTGTATACAACCAGGAAAATTACAAAATTTGGTCATAGTAAAAAATTTATTGAAATAATTTGAAGTACAGAATATTGAAAAAAAAACTTTTTCATGTGCATAGAATAAATGACAAGTCATTTAAATCAATCAATGTCAATCGCATGAATGAAGAAACATCAGTATCAAATATAAATGCCAATCAATCAATGAAGAAATGTCAATCATATCAATGAGGGAACATCAATCAAATAAGAAAATGTTAGTCAAATCAATAAATGATGAATAATTCAATAAATATCAATTGAATAATGATTCCATGGAGCCATGTCGATCCAAGCCAGCCAGTCGTTGTGTCCAGTGGATATATGCAAAGTTTATCAACATTCAGTAAAAACAGAGATCAATGAATTCGATAAAGGATGTGGTCACTTTTAGATCTCACAACCTTGTGTTCTAGTTCTTAAAGTGGTGAAAAAGATCTACATACAACACTTGATTATATGTAGATAGTGTTATAGAACTATTATTCACCAAGGACAATGTGAATGTTGGTCAATATTTACCAACAACAATCCAAGGTAAATACTGATCAGAATTCACTGGACCTAAAGTGAATAATTTTTAGTATAATTACCCAGATTACTATACTAGAGTTACTGCAAAATATGAAAAATTGATTTTGTCCCTGGATAGATAAAAACTGAAAATATACAAGCACTGCATAATTATCGTAACACAAATTTCTAGCCAATTATTTTGCAGTATTTCTGTATTCAGCTGTGTAATTATAAAATCATATTATTTTATACCAACTAAACATTAAAGTTACCATAT